ATTTGTAGAAATGAAAGTTTTGAGATTTATTAGATATTAAGAAAGACACTTACAGAGGAAATCGGTGTTTTCAAGACCCTTGGCGCTGACGAGGAGAAGTTCAAGCGTTCCCTGAGGCATGTTGTTAGAGGGATGAGAAAGACAGAATCGAGACAGGAGGTTTTTTTTTTTATCTTTCAGGGTCCGAGGAGAATCAACATTGCTCTGTCATAGGTTATTTATTTGTACAGGTGCTGTACAAAAATGTAAACGTACTGGTGGGTAGAAGTGACCTTTTTCATCCCCTAGTCATGCAGACTGGCACTTGGTTGGCCGCCGGGCTCAACTGGTGTAGGCTTTTCTGCCATGATTTTTTTTTTAAAAAATTTAAATAATTAATTCGTGGCATATTGGCATGTGCCATGTGACACCACTGTTAGCATGCAACTATGGTATTGTGCGCATTTTTTTTTTAATAACTTAAATAGATTAATAAGAATTTTTTTAATGAAAATAAAAAATTTTAAATTTAAATTATATAATATTTAAGTGGAATAAATTAAGAATTGAAAAAGAATTATTTTTTAATGAATAATTTAAAATATAAAAAATAAAAAACTACAGTATTTATTTATTTATTTATTTTGTTATTTGTGCGGGGAACGGGCAAAGTGCTGGGGCTTGTCTTCGTGATCCTGTCCATGATCAAAGGTGGGACAAGTTCCAGTATGCGTCTAATTGTTACGTGAGAAAAAAAGTGGGCTGGATGGACTGATAGACGGGCTGCACGGACATGACACAGGCCCAAGCCTTGCTAGTTCTTTTTTTTTTGGTAGAAAAGCCTTGCTAGTTTTATAATGCCAACTTGATGTAGTTTCTGTTGTTAGGTTCGGTTGGACATAGGCACACAATCATTTTGCAAATTGAACACCTTCACTCCAATAAAACTTTGTTTTAGTTTCAAAAAGGAATACAATTTAAATTAGTTAATCATCTAAAAAGTTATAGCTTAATTGATAAAGTAGTTTACTCTTCATTTTATTAATCAATATTCTATTCATTTAAGAGGTTAAAAAAATAATTTCTCTTAAAATTTTTTAGTCCATGTGTAAATGATTTGTTTTTTGATTAAATTAAAAAAGAATTAATCTTGAGAATTAGTCTTAACGTACATGTAATCTAATTCATGGATACCCTAACCACTAAACCAATTACAAAAAAAATTAAGTTGCTTGAGCATATAACAGAGAACCAAATGTAGCTTTGAATAGAGACCATAGAGAAGAAATAAATGTTGTATTTATTTTAATTCGATACACCAGTGAATCAGTCTGATCAAACAGCCAGAGAGCCACATTTAAGGTTCGTCGATATTTCCCACTGCATGTACCAAAAAAAAAAAAATTCCCCACTGCATGCATACCCCACATGATATTACCCACGGGATACCGCACATGATTTTACAACTTGAAAAGGATAGGACATGACAGAGTTGTGGTACACATTCTGTTGTCTCTAAAATCTCCCTTTTCGGCCTCGTGGCAGATAACACTGCGAAGGCGTGCAACTCACTTTACTCAAAGTGAGAAAAAGGGATTCTCGGTCAGTGACCCTCACTGCTTCCAAGCGTGAAACTCGGCTGTGAGTTGATGAAAGAACATCGGTTAAATAAATTATAAAATGCGCCCTGATCAGACGATTGTTGTAGAAATGAGGGCTCATTCTTACATAAAGGTCCATAAATAATTGCCTTGGAAGAACATCAAGGACTTCCCACAACTAAGGCCAAAATGTTAGTTTGTTGATCAAAATAAAAGAGAAAAATAAAGGAAAAGGGAAGAAAGAAAGTGCATCGTGAAAAAACTAAATTGCAAAGTGGAAGCGTGATGCCGCTGCGAAAGCATGAAAATGTAAAGAATGAAATAAAAGATGAAGTATAAAACAAAACTTAAAAGAAGCTAGAAAGATGAATTTGGGGCAAAGTGCAATAAATTGAATTACAGAAAACTAAATACATCGAGTGGAGATGTTCACAACGAAATAACAAAAATCATAGTTAATACTAATGACAGTGTAGAGCTAAAGATTAAATTAAGAAAGCTGTTTGAGAAAACTAGATCTAAACTAAGACATTACTTGTAAAACTAAAATGTAGATAGCGCTGGGCTAATTGTGTGAGAGGCTGATCCTTTTTTGCTTGATCTAATCATCGGGTATTTATAGCACCTTGGCAGCATGGTAGAGTTTTGCTAGCGGCATCTTAAAAACCAATGGCAGCATAAAATCTACAACAAATCGATTAATCAGTTTGTGTTGCCGATTATCCTCCTGGAAGTTCACAACAAACAAACGACTTTGCTGCCGTTGTGGAAATAACCACTGAACCTTACTTGGAGAGATTTACACCAACAACTTTTAACCAATGAAATAACTGCCAACATGGATGACACGTGGTACCATTCTATTTTTTGCAAAAATGGGTGTAAACAATGCTCCCCAAAACTTGGTTGCACGACTTCATAGAAGTGGAATTAAGTTTTTGAAAATTTTGTTCCTTACACTCCTTCACCTTGTTGCCACTATAAAGAAAGCATGATGTCACCATGAATGTAGAAATTTGAGATTGTTGTTTTCTTTAGCATAGCATGGAATATCATCTAACAAACACAACGGCTTCATAGAGAAATAAGCCAGCTAAAAGTGTGTCTATAAAAATGGAAAAATATAGCCTCCAAAAAGGACAATTCCATGAGTTTGCTTTCTGGTTGACTTAGAAACATAAATGAAGCAGGCCTCCATAGAAAGCATGTCTTAAAAGCAATGCCATCTCACCACCTTCCTTAAAGCCGCTCAACTGCAAGATTATTCACACTAATTGTAGAAAATTGAAAACAAAAACTAAATTAAAGCTAATCTCCACCCAAACTTGACTTAGGCAAAGAGATTATTTCCACTTCGATCTACTGCATGATTTATAGACCGAAGGGCAACATGGCTGAAAAGGTAAGCCATTTATTTTTGTGAGGTGCAAACTACCGTCAACGTTCCGTAGCCAGTATGTGCCTTCATCTAATGCCTTGTGCATTTGCAAATATTTCGTATTGTTGGCAAAATGTCTCTTGGGTGGCATGCTTTTAACTAACGGCAACTTGCCTCCTCTTAGAACAAAGGTTACAGCGTCTTTTTTATGATCCCTCCCTTTGTTTTCTTTGGCGGACATGTTTGCTTTGTTCTTTGCTGCCTTTTTGCTACTAGAGGCTGCATCTTACTTCTTTGTGAAAACAAAAGGGAGATTTGGAATGGAACTTGGAAGTTCAATAATAAACTCACCAAGGCTAATTGTTTTGCTGCTGACATTAAGCTCCTTAGCTGCCTTTGAGTCATTTGACTTAAAAGGAACACGCTTGGCAGATGTCTTTGGAGACACGATTACATTGACTAAATTCTGATTTGCCTCTTGAGAAGCTACACTATGTTTCTTCTTCTCCACCCAAATAAACTTTTGCCTCCCTGCAAGTTGTTGCCATTAGGAAGCATGCACCTTGGCAACAACATGTCTCTGACGCTTTTTAGCTCTTTTCTTTTGAAGTAGCCTCCAAAGAGTCCTAGGATTTTGGGTAAGGAACTCTAGGTGGTCCACCAGGTTTATATGGCGACAATGTCTAAATTGACTTTCTTTATAAAGGCAGCATTTGCACATGCCTCCATGTTTGTCTATCAGATCATGGCCCCCGTGCCTTAACTCAGAGACATGGATTTGTTGCTTTTGTTCCTTCTTTGGTGTCCAATTGAAGTCTTTAGATTTCGTCTTCCTTCTTTGACTTGGCAGATGTGAAAGCATGGTGTTTCTTATGTCGCCTCCCATCTTATCCTTGTGGCTACGAGGAAAATTTGAGAATTTTTTATGAAAACCACTTTGGAAAGAATCATTATTTTTTGAATATGGCCTACGGCATGTTGGACAACATGGTGGCCTACATGTCTCTTGAGTGTCCTGTGAAAATGAGTTTGCAAGTTGCTAAGGTGGACTAGGCTTGCACACATGCTTTTGCTGTGGCGGCATTAATTGAATGCTTGAATTGGCATCAGGCTGCAACGGCACAAACCTTGCTGCCTCTTTAGTTGTAGCTTTGTGAACTTCATTAACAATAAGGTCTTGCAACCTTTGTTGTTCAATCTGACTAGGTTGCCCCCCGAGACTGGAAATGACTCCCCTTTTCAGACTAACGACTTTAAAAGGATATTTCACCTTTAGCCATTGTCCATAATTAAACTTGGAAGGGCTTTGACCATTAAGAAAGCATGGTCGCTGTGAACACTTCTTAACCAAGGCTGAAGAAATATGCTCGTTAGTCTCAAAAGAAGAAGAAATAGATGGGGTGGATACCTTATCAGATTTATGTACTGATGCCAGCCAAAGTGTTGGCTTTTGTGTGGCAGCATCAGCTTACTGTCGACCATCATATGGACCTTGATTAACAGATGGCTGATATATCCGCAACTAAGTTGGTTTATGCCTCCCAAGACTAAGAGGCCTCTTGCTAGTATTAGTCTTTGCAGACTTAGAATGACTTGGAGGCATACTTGTTGAAGTCGCCTCCAAAGCTGCATGGCATTGCTGACTTTGGGCAACACGCTGCAATTGTGATTCATGCCCCCCGAATGTGATCATGGGGTTACTCTCTGGCCTTAGTGTCGTCTAACCTTCATTTATAGTTGGCATCTCTATCACGTTTTGCGATTTGCAAAACTACTTCAAAGTTCTTGGAGACATGGTTGCATGGCACTTCTTTGAATCCTCCATTAAACCTCACTTTTGGGTTGAGGGGTTTTAAGTTCTAGAAGATTTAATTTGCATCCTTTCCAATGTTCCTCCAAATTCCTCATCCATTCATCATGAAGCCTTTTAGATTTCTCAGCAAAATCAGCTATCATTTTAGCAAGTGATTTGGAAGACTCACTGCCCGCTGTTGCCCTCTCACTATAAAGTGGATTGATATAAGAGGAAGTATGTGATGGAGTCATGAAAAGCTTTCGGCAGTCATCAAAATAAGGACTTGCCATGGTGGCACAATCTAGTAGCAAAAGATATGATCAACAAACTTGTGAAAATCCACAGTGGGTTCTATCGGGCGTGCCAAAAAGAGATTATTGCCTCCAAAATCTCCTTTTTCGGCCGTGTGACAGATAAAACTGCGAAGGCGTGCCATTCACTTTGCTCAAAGTGAGAAAGAGGGATTCCCAATGACCCTCACTACTTCCAAGCGTGGAACTCAGCTGCGAGTCGATAAAAAAGCACCGGTTAAATAAATTATGAGATGCGCCCTGATCAGATGATTGTCGCAGAAATGGGGGTGCATTCCTACATAAAGGTCCATAAAAAATTACCCTGAAAGAATATCAAGGACTTCCCACAACTAGGGCCAAAATGTTAGTTTGTTGATCAAAATAAAAGAGAAAAATAAAGGAAAAGAGAAGAAAGAAAGTGCATGGTGAGAAAACTAAATTGCAGAGTGGAAGCATGATGCCGCCGCAAAAGCATGAAAGCGTGAAGAATGAAATAAAAGATAAAGTATAAAACAAAACTTAAAAGAAGCTAGAAAGATGAATTTGGGGCGAAGTGCAATAAATTGAATTGCAGAAACTAAATACATCGAGTGGAGATGTTCACAACGAAATAACAAAAATCAGAGTTAAAACTAATGGCAACGTAGAGTTAAAGACTAAATTAGGAAAGCTATTTGAGAAAACTGGATCTAAACTAAGACATTGCTTGTAAAACTAAAATGTAGATAGCACTGGGCTAGTTGTGTGAGAGGCTAGTCCTTTTTTGCTTGATCTAATCATTGGGTATTTATAGCACCTTGGCAACATGGTGGAGCTTTGCTGGCGACATCTTGAAAACCAACAACAATATAAAATCTACAACAAATCAATTAATCTGTTTGTGTTGCCGATTATACTCCTGGAAGTTCGCAACAAGCAAACGACTTTGCTGCCATTGTGGAAATAACCACTGAACTTTATTTGGAGAGATTTACTCCAACAACTTTTAACCAATGAAATAACTGTCAACATGGATGACACATGGCACCCAGGGACGGAGCCAGAATTTTGGATGAAGAGGGGGCAAAATTTTCCCCTCCCCTCCCCTCCCTTCCCTTCCTTTCATTTGAATAGATAACTAAATTAAAAGAAAATAATAAAGTAAAGGGAATTCCTCCCCCCATCCCATCCATTCTCCTTAATTTAAACATATTATTAATCATAAAATTTTATTTTAATTCATAATTTTTACATAAAAAAGTATATTAATTGTATATTAAT